CTGCTCCTCCACATTGCCAAGAATCTTTCTGCTAACCCTGAATTCTGCTTTCAAGTTTGTCCTTCCAAAATGAATCACCTCACACTTTTCAGGGTTAAACTCCATCTGCCACTTCTCAGCCCAGCTGTGCATCCTACCAATGTCCCTTTGTAAACTAGAACAGCCCTCCGCACCATCCACAGCTCGACCCACCTTCGTATCATCCGCGAACTTACTAATCCACCCTTCCACTCCTACATCCAAATCATTTACACAAATCACAAATAGAAGAGGACCCAGAACAGATCCTTGTGGCACACCACTTGTAACTGAGCACCATGTTGAATATTTTCCGTCCAAAATAGTGGAATTGACTATTTCCATTAGTGTTCAGACGTTCAAGAAAAGATTTAATTGAGATTTTAAAAATTATTAAGGTACCGATAGTGACTTGGATGATGGCATGTAAAGTCATAAATCTAAATTTGTTATGACACAAAGTTAGGCATTGTAGACAGTGTAGATAATAGAATAAAACTACAAAGGGATATTGATAAACTAAGCGAATGGACAAAACTATGGCAGATGGGAGTTCAATGTAAACAAGTCTGAGGTTATCTATTTTTGACTGAGAAAGGATAGATTAGGGTACTTTCTAGGTGGTATGAAGTTAAATACACTGGACATCCAAAGAGACTTGTGGTTCAGGTGCACAAATCTTTAAAATGTCATGAACAGGAATGCTGGCCTTTATATCTAGAGGACTGGAGTACAAGGATGCAGAAGTTATGCTGCAGTTATACAATACCTTGGTTAGACCCACTTGGAGTGCTGTGAGCAGATTTGGGCACCATACCTTAGCAAGGATATACTGGCCTTGGAGGGAGTACAACAGAGGTTTACAAGAATGATACCTGGACTTCAGGATTTATGTTATAAGGAGAGGTTGTACAAATTAAACAAATTTGTTTTTCTTTGGTTCTGATGGGAGTAGTGCACTGGTCATCAAGCCCACTACTCTATAAGCCATAATGTAAGTGTCTTATTTAATCATCAAAATGGCTAATTTGTTGCTTTTTTAATTGTTATCTAAACAAAAGAGGCTTTCAAAATGTTTCCTCAACAAAACTAAAATATAAATTATTTATTATAAACCAACTTATTCTTCATACAAGTGGTAAAACTGGTTATCAATTGAGCTAATCTGCAGAATTAAAATGCATCCTCTTAATCTCAAACACATAGAGATAGGACAAGAAACATAGCTCTGCAGAAATATCATAGGTTTGGGGAAAAAAGCAAAAAGGGAACTCCACCCCTTAAGGGTCAAGGGTACAGATTCAGCAGACAGAATAGATTGACTCCTTTGAGTTCCTTTGTGTCAAGCTCCAGCTGATGAGACTGAATTGCTGACAGATACACAATGTTTTCAGATTCAGAGAGGAAACAGGAGTCCTTAATCACAGAATCATAGAGTCATACAGCACAGAAACAGACCCTTCGGTCCAACCAGTCCATGCCGAACATAATCCCAAACGAATCTAGTCCCAACTGCCTGGTCCTGGCCCATTATCTTCCAACATTTCCTATTCATTTTGTTTTTATTCATTCACACGATGAGGTGTCACTGGCTAGGAAGCATTTATTGCCCATCCCTAATTGCCCAGAGGGCAGTTAAGAGTCAACCACATTGCGGTGGGTCTGGAGTCACATGTAGGCCAGACCAGGTAAAGATGGCAGTTTCCTTCCCTAAAGGACATTAGTGAACCAGATGGGTTTTTCTAACTATCGACAATGGATTCATGGTCATCATCAGATTCTTAATTCCAGATATTTATTGAATTCAAATTCCACCATCAGCCATGGCAGGATTCAAACCCAGGTCCCCAGAACGTTATCCGAGTCTCTGGATTAACAGGCCAGCAATAATACCACTAGGCTATCGCCTCCCCTTTTCATGTACTTATTCAAATGTCTTTTAAACATTGTATAACAGAACCTTTGTCAAGTTTCAAATAACATCACCAACATAGCACTTTTAGCTGGTTAGTTTAAAGATACAAAAACAAATAGCTGTTAAAACACAGCAGGTCTGGCAGCAGCTGTGGAGTGAAAACAGAGTTACTGTTTCAGGTCCAGTGACACTTCTTCAGATTTGCCCAGCATTTCAATGTACAAGAACAGAACTGAAGCATTCACAACAATCCCCAGCCAGAATTGTCGAGTGGATGATCCATCTTGGCCTCCTCCAGAGGTCTCCAGCAAAACAGATGCCAGTCTTCAGACCATTCAATTCACTCATGCGCTATTAAAAAAAAAATGAATGCACTGGATACTGCAAAGGCTATGGGTCCTGACAATATTCGGGCAATAGTAGAGATGGTGTGTTCCAGGACTAGTTGCTCCCCTAGCCAAGCTCTTCCAGTACAACACTTGCATCTACCAGACAATATGGAAAATTGTTCAGGCATGTCTGTACACAAAGAGCTGTACAGATCTGACCCAGCTAATTACTGTCCTATCAGCCTGTTCTCAATCATCAGTAAAGGGTTGGGAGGGGTCATCCACAGTGCCATCAAGCAGCACTTGCTTAACAACAACCTGCTCACTGACACTCAGTTTAAGTCCTACCAGAGCCACTCAGCTCCCAAATACATTAAAGCCTTGGTTCAAACATGGTCAAGAGTTGAATTCCAGAGACGAAGTGACAGTGACTGCCCTTGACATCAAGGCCATATTTGACTTGGAGTGGCATTAACGAGCTCTGGCAAAACTAGAGTCAATGGATATCAGGGGAAACATTTCTGCTGGTGGGAGTCATATCGCACACAAAGCAGTTGAGATGTAGTTGTTAGAAGTCAGCTATCTCAATTACCGGCCAATTCTACAGGAGTTCCTCAGGGGGGTGTCCTAAGCCCAACCATCTTTGGCTGCCTCATCAATAACCTTACTGCCTAAGATCAGAAGTGGTGAGGTTCACTGATTATTGTAGAATTTGTGACTCCTCAGATATTGAAATATGTCCAAATGCAGCAGAGAACTGTACAATATCAGCTTTGGGCTAACAATTGGCAAATAACATTCATACCACAGAAATACCAAGCAATGAGCACCTCCAATGAGAGAACCTAACCATCGCTCTTTGACATTCAATGACATTAGCATTATTGAATCCCTCACTATCAACAGCCTGTGGTTACTATTGACTAGAAATTGACTGAGCCCGCCATGTAAATACTGTGGCTACAACAGCAGGTCAGATGCTAGGAATCCTACAGTAACACACAGCCCAACTCGGCAAAACCTGTTTACCACCTACAAGGCACAAATCAGGAGTACGATGGAATACTCCCCACTTGCCTGGATAAGTACAACTCCAACAATACTGAAGAACACAGACACCATCCAGGACAAAACAGACCACTTGACTGGTATAAAATGCATAAACATTCACTTTCTCCACCACCAAAGCTCAGTGTATTAGCAGCACTGCATACCACTTACAAGATGCACTGCAGAAATTCACCGGAAATCCCTAGAAATGACGACTTCCATCCAGAAGGACAAGGAAAGAAAATTCAAGGGAACACCATCAGCTGCTGTTCCCACCAAGCCATTCATCACCCTGATTTGGAAATATATCACCATTCCTTCAGTGTTGCTGACTGGATGATGGTGGGAGGTAGTGGCCCAGTGATAATTTCAATAGGCTAATAATGCAGAAATCGATGCTAATGTTCCAGTGACATGCATCCCACCATGGCAGATAGTGAAAGTGCAATTTCGTTAAAGGTAAAAAACCTGGAATAGAAAGCTAGCCTAATGGTGACCATACAACGATGACTCATTGTCGTAACAACCCATCTGGTTCACGAGTACCCTTTAGGAAAGGAAATCTGCCACCTTTACAGGGTCTGACCTGTATGTGACTCCAGACTACACATTGTGATGGACTCTTAACACCCCTCTGCACAATTAGAAATGGGCATTAAATTCTGGCCTGACCAGCAACACTTACATATGCCATGAATGACTAAATGATTCTAGAACTCCTGCCCTAAGAACACTGTTGGTATACCTATACCAAATGACTGCAACTAGCAGGAGGAATAAATGCTGGCCTAGCCAGCGGTACTCTCATCCCTTGGCAGATTTCCTTTCCTAAAGCATGTTCATGAACCAGATGGGTTTTTATGACAATTAGTAATGGTTGCCATTAGGCTAGCTTTTTATATCAGATTTTTTGATTTAAAAAAAGTGTCAGAGGTTCGGTACTGTCTAAGTGCCACACTGTCATATGGTCAGTACTAAGGCAGTCTCACACTGTATGGGGGTGAGGGCATCAGCACTGAGAGATAAAAGTAAAATACCGTGAATGCTGGAAATCTGGTCTGGTTGGAGTCCTAGACAACAAGGTGCAGGGCTGGATGAACACAGCAAGGAGCCCTAACCCTAACCCTAACCCTATCGCAGGTTGGAGTCCTGCTGAGTTTTTCCAACACTCTGGGTTTGCTTCAGTATCGTGGGAGCCTCACACTGAAGGAGAATCAGTATTGAGGAAGTACTGAAGTGTTGAATTATCAGTTCTAAGGCAGTATGAAGGGTTTGCATTGAAAGAGTGTCACACTGAATGAGTACTGTGCTACCAGAGGTGCTGTAGGTTTAAGGGGCAATAGAGATGGTATTCAAAGTCATTGTGACAAAGTGCCACACTATTGAAAAGTCAGTAAAGAGGGAATGCGAGCATTGGACAGTCAGCCTTGAGGGAATGATACTCACTGTCAGTGTTGAAGCATTGCCTCACCAGTCTGGAAGGGCTGTACTGAGGTTGTCCCTTGAATAAGGCACTAAATCATCAATTGGATGTGAAAGGCAAGTAAGCAAAACCTAATTTTTCACTGTCAACGGGGGAATAAGATTTTATCTTACACTTACACTGCCTGGAAAGCAAAATGTCGGATGTTCGCTGTCCCATTTACCCTCACCTCAATTCTTTTATAATATGCTTCTCAGGAATTTACCTCAATGACTGGGATTATAACTGTTGTGAGTTGTCTGTCATTGACAGTAGTATCTTTAACTTGTGTATAAATCCTCTCTGCTTCATCAAAACATGAGAATTCCAGCACAACAGCACCTGAAACAAACAATAAGTTAAGGTCAGGAAGCATCTAATACTTGGCTCATGTGCTCACCAAAGAAAATCCAGCTTCCATCTCCACTTCAGAAATCATCATGACTCAATGTGAATACAGTGAACACAGGGAGTCAACAGTAGCCAAAACAAGGCTAGAGACATAAATCGAAAAATAGTATGGGAATAGTTCACATGACAAACCAGGTGGGAAGTCAGAGCTTCATTTTCAAACAGAGCAGCGGCACTCAACAAACCTACTTTACATTTGACTTGACCAATACAGAGGGGAGCAGAATAGTTAGTATTAAGAGTCAATAAATTTGGTTGTTAAACAATAAATGTAACAACTTGCATACTTGGGTATACACTCAGAGATCTCTGCTGCAATTTAAAGTAAACAAATTCTATTCATCTTGGACAACAAGGTGCAGGGCTGGATGAACACAGCAGGCCGAGCAGCATCATAGGAGCAGAAAGGCTGACGTTTCGGGCCTAGACCCTTCATCAGAAAATTTA